TGTGCTGGTTGGGCGACATAACAGGTTACCACTACTGTGTATTCCAAAAACATTGTGCGTCTTTCGGTATTAATTTATCTCAACACCCAGCATTTTAAATTCTCAGAAACGATCATTGCGGGAAAATTGTGGGCCGGGACTAAGATTTTTGAACGATCGATGCGATAAAACGATAGTTCGAGGAACGATAGAAGCGGGAAAATGTAACATTATTTTATATTGGATGTATTCGGGACCGAACAAAACGGACGATGTATCCGGGAAAACGATAGTTCCGGGAACGATGGATAGAGGTTTCACTGTATTAAATAATCTACCCCACTTCCAGTTTTAAAATTCCATAGGAACAAAAGCTTATAAGCAGACAGATGTCATGTGCAGTCTGGTAGAACTTTAATGTTGTTTCAGAAATGCTTGCTGCCTCCATCACCAGGGCATTGATGGCAGAGGCAGTAAGTACCTCTGAAACATCAGTAAAATTCTATCAGACTAAGAATCGCTGTCTTCCGAGTAGTATGTTACAGGTTTACAGACATTTCAGAGGTCTTTGCGAGAAAATTCTACCAGACTACATGGTGAAACAACCCAGGAGACAGCCATCTTCAGACTCAATGTCGCGAAAACCTCAAGTTCCATCAGATTAGAAAGTGCAACAACCCGGACGACTGCCATCATCATACTTCTCACTGTGAGAACCTGAAATGAAAACTTGCAAGTCATGAATGAGATACTCACCTGTCCCTGCATGTTCATGATGACGACAGTGTTTGATCTGTTGCACACTACGAAGTGCTCCGGGTTCTTGGGCAGCAGGTGGATGCTGTTCACCGTTATATCACCTGCGCCACCCAGAGACTTGAACGTACTGGTACACTCTGTAGACTTGATGCTCCACACCTTAACTGTGCCATCTGATGAAGCACTGCAAACAATCATGATTCTGATATGTCTTATGGCACTCACCTGCCGACATGCAAGCGTTATGTACCGGAAAAGAACCATATAACACCATACTGAAGAAAAACAACATTTTCCAATGTATAAAAACACATTGAGAACTCACGGAGAATATGAAAGAAATTCTGAAGGGGACAGGTTCTTAACCATGTGAGACAGAAATTACTAGACGACTGATAACAGCTGGTAAAAGGGGGTGGGTGGAGAAAAAAGGAAATGCACGAGATAAATTGCCATTGGAATCTTAAATTCAGAACCATAATTGATTATATCATAATGACAAGAAACCTTTGGAATATATTAAATTATGTCAAAACAATGGCAAGCATAAGGTTAGATCACAGAATCCTAATTGCAGACTTTAAAATGGTAAAAGATGACCAATTTTAAACCAAGTGTACAAAATTAAAATGTGGAAGCTGAAACATCAGGACGATAAAGAAATTTTCACAGAACTACTGAAGACCAAATCACCTAAAGCTGAAATACAATCAGTGGAAGAAGAATGGGACAGACTTAAGGTCAGCTTTATAGAAACAACAGAGGAGGTATGTGGCTGAAAAAAAATGGGAGTAGTCAAAAGGAAAGATCACGGTGCACAGATAGAATAAAAGAAGCTATAATGAGAAAATATTATATAATGACTGCAGAGAGTAGTTCAATGACAGAATTGAGAGATGACAGCAATGTTAAGACTGTAGAGAAATGGAGAAATAAGAAGAAATAGTACTGAAAACAAATGGGATAAAGAGATCTGGGAAACAAGTTGCAGAAAAATGGCGAGATACAAAATTAAAGAACTGGAAAGGCTTCAGAATTTTATGATTTAGCTACAGACATAAAATGTAAAATTACAGTATTCAACATGCATTTTAAAAAGATACTATTATATGGAGGCCCCCACCCCCATCTCCATATAATAGCTCAGTCAGTATAGTGACTAGCTACGGGCTGGACGACCGGGGTTCAATCCCCGACGGGGGCAGAGGATTTTTCCTCTAGCCTCTGCGTCCAGACCGGCTCTGGGGCCCACCCAGCCTCCTCCACAATGGGTACCGGGGTCCTTTCCCGGGGGTAAAGCCGGCCGGGGCGTGATGCTGACCACTCACCCCCATCTAGTGCCGAGGTCAAGGAAGAGAGGAGCTATACCTCCACTCCCCCCAAGCGCCTACATGGCGTATAGTGGGACAAACTTTACTTTACTTTACTAATATATGGAGCAGAAACATGGACACGTGCAAATACAGAACAAAATAAACTACAAGCAACTGAGATGAAATTCCTGAGGGGAAAATTTGGAAATCCAGGAAAGACAGAATAAGAAGAAATACACATTCAGAGAGAGCTCATGATGGAGGAAATACAGAATTAAACTGAGAGAAGTGGATTGACATTAATAGAATGTATAATTATAAAATACCAAAAAGATTAACAGAAATGAGGATAACTGGAAGAAGACCCAGGGGGAGACCATGCACATGATGGAAAGACCAAGTTACGACGGATGTAGAGAGTAGATGAGACTGGAAGACTGAAGATGAAAATGCACGTAAGGGCAGACAGAACTGGAGATGCCTATGCAAAAGGTAACCCACAAGTGTGGAAACAATTTAAGGAAGAAAAATATGAACCGAAGAGGTTACATATTTAGTCTTCAATGACGCAACTAAATGAGTTATTATGTTCTGTAAACGTTCAAAGAGTGGGAAGGAATAAGCCATACTTCGCACTTGGCTGTAGGTAGACACCAATGTTTCGAAGGAAAACACTGTCCATCTTCACCCCTAAAGATTTCAGTGTCTGTCTTCTGGGCAGTAACACTGTCAGGACTTGTAGAAAAGATATCTGTATTTTGGATAAACTTGCTGTTTCCATCTTCAGGGCTGAAGTACACACACAGCATTACTACCCAGAAGACAAACATTGACATCTTCACGCTTGTGAGAACCTCAAATGTCATAAATGCAAAACCTGTCCGCATAGCCAGAATTCTGCCGAAAACTCAAGCTGGGTACCGCCACACTCCAAATGACAGACATCACAACTTAGGCAAAATTTCGTAGCATGAAAATATAAAGGGTACTGTAATAAGAATGGTAAAATAAAAGCAGATGGCATGCTGTGAAAGATAAAGCTGTCAAAATAAAATGTTTCAATGCATAGCTCCGTGCAAAAAACTAGACGCTTCTGCAAGCCTTCTTCTTTTTATGTATCACTTCTGTTTCATACAGGCTAATGGAATTCTTAGTACAACTGACCTCAGTAAGCTGTGCCCATCTGGAGTGAAGACAACCTCATTCACAAAGGAGCTGTGCCCTCTAAACTCCTTCAGCGTCTTACCAGACTTGAGACCGTGAATCCTGCAAATAGAAGGAGAAAGAAAATGTTAATACAAAACCCAAGTGCAATTTGACACAGCAACTGTTTTATTTATTAGTAACAGCACTGAACATATGTCAACTGCTGGAGAACTTCAGTAGCATTTCAGGAGGAAGAAGAAAATGGGGCTGTAAGGAAGTACAGGAATGGACAGACAGTGATCTGAGAAGACACAGTAAGTTTTGAACCAGATGCCTTTGAACACCTCATTCACTTAGATACTATAATACGCTAGGAATCATAAGAATTCTGAGTGAGTCTAAGTCCTTATTAAATTCCTGATATTTATTTATTTAGTGTTCTGTCCGACGACAGGTCCATATGAACAGGATCCTTCGATCCTTTTCTCGGACTGGGACCTGTTCATATACGTTCTTGGCAGATGATCCAGAAGTGGTTTGCCATTGCCTTCTTCTGTGTGTGAATGGAGTAATTGTTGGGATGCCACGGAGAAACCGGGGAAGCCCCCGGAGGAAAACTCCGTGTTGCCTAGCCCACGGCCTTGCCCAACACAAGTTATAAATTCGTGCACCGCCGGGAATCGAACCCGAGACCCCAGGATTACAAGGCCAGCGTTCTAACCGCTAGACCACCGTGGCACAAATTCCTGATATGACTAATTAATTCAACATGTGCCCTTAGAGTAATTTATATCAAGCACAGAACTGAAGCAGACATGGTACATTGAACAGCATAAAACAATTTAAAGGCCTCTGTGTTCGTAGAACATCACCGACAGTCGACATCCTTGATCTTCACACATGCATACATAAGCTCAACTTTCTAGAAAATGAAAACTTTATTAGCAAATGGTTTTAGACATAAAGCATTGAAGTGGCTGTAAGCTGATACCAATTTTAGATTGCTCAGTTTTAGACAAAGGAAGCTGGATTAATTTAACAATGTGACAGGCCAGAATTGTATGGATGCAGCTATACAGGTTTTGTATTTAATGCAAGAAGGCCGGAGATACATGCTCCGTCATAGATAATCTATAGCTGAAAATAGCAACAGTCTATGGGACTTTATGTTAATGTACGAGTGTCTACACTGAACAAGACGCATAACTGGACGTGGAAGTAAGATAAACTTTTGCACCTCTGACTGTAATACCCAGAGCATTACAAAGCAGGTAAACATACCTAACCTAACCTAACCATGCTTGGAGAAATCCATACACATTTCAGGGCATTATAATTCTTGCGGGATTTTTTATAAAAGCAAACCCATACTTAGGAGTGGATGATTTAGGTATAAACATTTTTGACTACCTTAAAAGCCTTTAGAAACATTTTCGACACACATGATTGAAGTTCTGTTTCTGTAAATATATCAAGTTTTTAGTATTAATATGTAATGAGACATTATAGTCCCATTCAGACAGTGATAAAATACACATACTGGACTGTTATCTCCTACAGTCAATAAAGATTAACAAATACAAATTAATAACCAAAGCAACAACAAAATACAATAAGATAAAACATTTCCAGACAAACTTTAGAAAGCATATTAAGAAAAAAATTGAGATATTTCCATTTTGGGGTACAATGGACTCTAAAGAACGTGATAAAATGTTACATAACAATACACATTATTCAGGGTGCTTTTTCCTGCCTGCAGAACACTTGTTAAAGGGTCTCAAAATCTCATGTATCAAATGCAGAAGCTATCACATGCTGTCATCATCCAAGGGTGTCCAGAAACACCCTGTTGTGTGCCAGACGTTCACCCACACACACCTGATGGTTGCATCAAAGGATGCGCTTAGCACTTGGCTGTTGTCACGTGAAAACTGCAGGCAAGTCACTCCCTTGATATGCGCCTTCTCGAAGCGACGCAGACACTGCCCAGTCTGAATGCGCCACACCTTCACCTTCCCATCCTGTGAACCTGACGCCAGCATCTCCGAGTCTCTGCTGAATGACATGCACAGCACCGCCTCCTCCATCATCATGAAGTTGTCCTACAGAACAGAAAATTAAGATGCATATTTTGCACAAGTTCTTTTAATGACTTGTGTTTGAACCTGGGCCTCCTGCTTTCCAAACAACTCACGTCTCAGCTACTCAGAACACCTTCTACAAAGTGGCTGTTTCTTACAAATGAAATACGTGTTTATTGCAGTTATAATACGAGATAAACTGTGACAAAATGCTAATAATACCAACAGCTCACACACATAAAGGGATTTGGGTCTAGTTCCACACTCTACTTTGTCTCATTCAAGAATGATCCTGGCGTAAAGAAATCAGCGGAGAATTCAACTGTAGCCACATCACGTGATTAGCAGAGAGGAACCTGCACGTGCTTAACAATTATAGGGAGTATGTCAACAAGTGTTGTCAAATGATAGTGTGCGTTTTGGCCAGGTCGCTTAAAATTAATTCATGAGAGGGATTAAGAAATTCATAAGAATAGCAAATATAATACAATGGTCTGTATAATGAGCACCAGGTTGACATAAGTGCACCTGTCTCCCTTCAATCGCGTGGTGGGAACACGGTGATTGCCCCTCCTTTGTTTACATCAGTAATGTTCTTGGGTGAGATAGAAGACAGTGTGTTTCTTTTTAATTGCGGATGAAGAGTAATTTACTGTTCTTAGATTATGAAATAGACCTTCTAACTTTCTTTAACGAACAAATTATTAGCAGACAGTGAACATGATTTCAGTGAGGGAAAAAAAAGAGACGGAAGAAGAGATGACAGTTATTTCACATATTTGAACCAGCAACATGAATACAGATTCATATACTGCTGCTTAGGCATGTTATAGTACTTAAGATATTATCTCTCTTGAAACACACATTACGGATATTAATGACACTTAAAAAAATCATGTAACTCTTTTTTACTAATGAATGTAACCTTACTTAGTAAGTACACAGAGAAAATTTCTGATAAGCTGTTGGAAATGTTAAACTGAGTGATAAGGTATCAAAGAGGAAGATTCACGAAATGTGACGTCTTAAAAAATGTAATTCTTCTGGTGGCTGTTGTCTTATTGTGCAAAGAAAATATTTCTAAAACTTTTCTGTTTATATTACACAAACCAGACACATGTACGACAGTTTGAAGTAAATGGAAGTGTGTGATAAATGTGCAAAGGGGTGTAAAAAATGAGTCTCTGTCTGAAGAAAGTTATGAACACAACAATTCATGTAATAATAAAAAGTCTTGAGGAACAGCAATTAATATTTATGAGAACAGGGACATCACAGAAGAGTCATGATTTATCATTGCTTCACTTCTCTGACGAGGCTTACTTGCATTTTGATAATTATATTAACAAACACAATTCAGAATTTTGGTTTCATATAATCCAAAGTTTACTACTGCAACCCGCTATACAGTGTTTGTGTATCAGTATAATAAAGAGGTGGCATTGGTAGTACAGTTACTTCTGATGTTTACCTCATTCTGCCGAGGGATTCATTTGTACCTTCACTGCACAAATAAAGCACTGAAATAAATACAGCCTGGTTTCAATAAGCTCACAACAGCATAACATATGCTCTTTGATGTATTATCATCAGCAGCGACTATGCCAAAGCCAAACAGTCGACTACTTTTTGTGGGGTTATTTGAAGAACACGATATTTCATCTGTGCATCATTTTTGCGCTACAAGGACATTACACTGAATACCTCTGGTTAAGAAACCATTTTTTCCAAGCATGCAAAAAGGTCTGTAAAACTTTCAAGCAGTTCTGTTTGCTAATAAAACTATAGCACCAAATTTAAATTGTCACAGTAAAAATCATTCCGTACTTAATGTCACATACAATACAATTATGAGTAGACCTATTTAATTTATTTATATTTAAAGTTTAAATGCGTCATGTTTGTGTTTTATAATTAAAATATATAATATAATTCAGGTCTATACACAAACTTTATTTACAGATGTTAAAATTTAAAATTTAAAATTTGCGCTATTCATCGTTACGATATAAAGTAGTTTTAAAGGAAAAACCTGAAGATGATGCTACGCATCGAAACATGTAGTAAATGAAGGCGCAGTATTGTAACATCGTAGTAACGATGAATAGCGCAAATTTTAAATTTTAAATTTTAACATCTGTAAATAAAGTTTGTGTATAGACCTGAATTATATTATATATTTTATTTAATTTATGTTCCACACATTACAAAAAAGAATCTTAAGAGTACAATAAATTTATCTCAGTATTTGAGGCTCATTTCATCAAACCTTGGTCAAGTCTCATATCATAAGAAACGGCTATAGGAGAGCTAACAGTTCACACTAATATAAGCTCTTTAAGAACAGACATTTACAAATTAGTAATTTAAATAGTGCTTAGAATTAGACTTACAGTTTTTGATGAAGGGATATCATTAAACTGAAACATATTCTTGGCTGTTTTCCTTTGCCCATTATTAAAAAAAAAACACTTTAGAAGCTGGCTTTGCTTCTGGAATGTTCTCTGTACTTTTAACTAACTGACAAAGCAAAACGTCCAAGAATATAGATCAGTTAAGTCCCTGGCATGCAAAATAATGCCAGATTCAGATGACCACACTATCCGGCTACACTATTCCACATATACTGCTTTAGTCGGAGCTTTAGGACTGTCCACAGGGCATGCACAGTACCTGAGCCTGGTACTTGAGATCCTTTCTGATCTTTCCCGTTGTGAAGTTCCACACTTCTATAAAACCATCGACACTGCCAGTAACCAGATATTGTCCATCAGGGGAGAAGCGCGCACACTCTACATGTGACTTCTGTCCAAATTTTATCTGCTTTGACAACTGCGTCGGGTACTTTTCTTCCTCCTGATCTCTAATGGCCGCCTTGCCTCGGAACAGATCGATCGTCGTGCCTGTAACATGTTTTTATGCGTATGGACTCTTGTGAAATGTATACCAAACTTCTGATGGTTGAAGATTTCCGTCTTCTGGGTTGTTGCGCTGTGAGAACCTCAAGTCTTCCGATGGTTGTTCATGCTGAATCTGCAACAGTTCTCAATGCTTTAAAGTACAGAGGAAACTTATACAGACCACCTACTGGAACATTCAATAACAATGCAATTCTGTCCACAGTGTACTTAGGTATTCATATGCTTCTACGAATAAGCAGTATTAACCATCTGATCTGTGTAATGGAGATGCATTGTTTTCTCTGAGGTATGAAATAACTAACTGTATACAAGAGAATCCTTCTTGAGAAGCTAATGATATTAATTTAATCATCCCAAACACATTTGATGAAAATTATAAATAATGCACCTCCTCATTATGCCATTATCTCCACTCTTTCACATCATCCACCATCGGTCCAAATATTCTCCACAGCATCATTATCTCAAACACCCTTAATCTGTGTTCAGCAATTAATGTAAAAGATCAATTTTCTTTTTATATAAAGTCCAAGGCCTTGAGAAATATTTCGTAAAATGTCGCTTTTTTAAAGTGAGAATCTTTTAGCCCCAGTCCAACCCCAACATGGAGGGCCAGCCCCTGCCGGCTGTCTGTAACTACTTATTCAATACATTTGGAGACAGCCTCTTGCATAAATCATATCATTCATATAAATGGACTAACCACATCACTGGCTTGGCACCTTCAACAAGAATGTGATTAAATACACACTAATAACACTTATGCTCCTTGGCGCAGCATTAGTGGGGGGGGGGATGACAACAATGTACCGTTCCTACACATAAACATGCTACAGAACCACACCTGGAGGGAGAAGTCCTTGATGCTGTTGCCACTTCAACGACTGTCCAAGCAGAGCCAGAAGACGAGACGATGGCACGACAGAAACCTCTCCAGAAAGAGCCTGTGCTATGGCAGCACGTCGCTTCTCTTTTGTGCTGCCATCTGGATATGCTTCTCGGGGGTCAAAGTACGAACGGGCCAGCAAGTTCTCTGAAATATAAAGTTTATGATGATCCACCATAAATAAAAACTACAGTTTCAAACACTTTTATCATATGGAACCTCCAAGTATTATGTAATCTCAAAGTTCATCTCTTTCACAATAGAAACCCCAGCATTATACATTACCAACAAATCTTAATCTAATTTAATCTCTTTCTCATAAGAATGACCTGTAGCTCATCCTGGCTCTTTCAAAAAACTGCTATCAGTTTGTTGTATTTGAGGTCTTTACAGAAGCGAGTATGAACATGCTGTGTTATAGGCAGATGCACTATGCATTCTGGTAGAAGTTTACCAACATTTCAGAGGCCCTTACTGCCTGCAACACCCTCATGATTGAGACAGTAAGCACCTCTGAACGTTGGTAAACTTCTACCAGATTATGTGGCACAACTACCTAGAAGAAAACCTTCAACTCTCGGTTTAAAAATCAGTGACAACATACAACCACATTCATGGCAAGTAAACATATACAGTGTCACAAAAAGATGTATATTTTAGATGTTATTATTATTATTATTTAGTGTTCTGTCTGACGACAGGTCCATATGGACAGGATCCTTCCATCCTTTTCTCGGACTGGGACCTGTTCATATACGTTCTTGGCAGATGATCCAGAAGTGGTTTGCCATTGCCTTCTTCTGTGTGTGAATGGAGGAATTGTTGGGATGCCACGGAGGAAAACTCCGGGTTGCCTAGACCACGGCCTTGCCCAACAAAAAATAATGTTATTAAGACGGCTATAATTAGCGTCTCAAATATACAACTCTTAAATAAGGTACCATTACCTATCGTCACTTCAGGTACAAGAATTTGCAACATGGAACATAGGAGTAGAAAATGTTTGTTACATTCAGTGGGGAAGGATCTCACCAGATACAGTAGGATGGTTCCCAGTGTGTTGAATAACGAGCCATGGAATAGCACAGGAACTTGTTTCTGAGATCTTGGTGGTAGTAGCAAGTACAAAATTATTTAACCTATTCCCCCCAAAACTATGTATGCCTCTCTTTTCAGTTATTTAAGGGCTACCACACTAATTACCAACAAAATGTAAATCACATCTTCATATTCTGCAGATATAGAAAACGCCTACAATTTGAATTAAACCTGATTAAATTTGTAGAAGTTCCAGTCATTTCAGTACAAACAAGCACTTAATTCTTTTTTTAAGATAACCCTCTTGAGCTTCAATCTGGGTCTGGATTACTGAGTTTTTTGACTTATTCCATTACCTGATATTCAAAAAAACACGCAACATTTTGAGAACCCAATCTGTCCTCTTCCTCGGGTGTACAAAAGGTGACAGTGATTGAGGTTAGCTCTTTCTAATGGACCTAAAAGAGTAAGTGGCCACCTTTACTACACCCGAGGACGAGGTCAGCTCCGGTTCTCAACCCACGTATCTGTTGAGTGTACGAACCAAACATCGTACAGTAATGTTTATGTTACCATTGTTGGTGGACCAAATATTCATCGTAAGACACAAATATGACTGTTTAACTCTTAGGTCTGTTGGTAAGAAGTAAAAACAAGGCCTTCTGCAACAAGCAGGATGCAGCATGGACGCCCACAGATTTAATGAATGTGAGAGAGGCCTGAGGTAAATTGAGGACCTGACCAGAGAAAAATAGTCAATTCCAACTGATAATACAGTCCTCTGTATTCTTGCATTGCTCTACTTTCTTATTCTCCTTTTTACTGTACATATTCTTCAAGGTCAAGTGTTACAGTTCAAATAAATCTTTAATAGTATGGTATATTACAGTTACATAGGAACACACTGTAAGAAGCTTCTAAGTTACTGACTGCCATCTATTAATCAGTGTACAACATGCATATAACCACAAAAATGCAGAGAAATGAACACAAGGCTAAATGACAACTGTGCTCACTTCCCTTTATTTTCTGACACTGTAGCACAGCAGCAAGACAAAATGACTGACATGCACCCACTAACGAGCGGCCAAACTATGCACGTACGAGGTGCGATCGGAAAGTTTCCAGACTGTGTCAATAGAGGGCGAACCGGATGTAGTACGAGCTTCTGCCGCTAGGGGGTGCGGCCTACAATCATAGTGAATCAGTGTGCCAGCCGGCATCATCGAATTAGCATTTGTTTCTTAGTTACGGGCGTTTTGGTAGTGCATTACACCGACCCTCCTGCGATTTCGGAATGGCGTGTGCATCAAATTTTGCCAAAGACTCGCCGAAACGGCTACGGAAACCTATGAAATGCTAAAGCAAACATTTGGGGAGTCCGCAAACTTTTGTGTGGCATTCACGTTTTAAAAAGGGCCGAACCCCTGTCGATGATGACGAGCGTTCTGGACGACCATCTTCGAGCACAACGCCCGAAAAAGTTACGAAGATCGACGTCGTACCATCAACGACTAATGCGACATTGTTGGGATAGGCTATGGGACCTGTCAGCTGATTCTAAAGGAAGAAATCCACATGCGACGCATCATGACAACGCACCAGCGCACACCGCCCTCAAAGTTCGGCAGTTTTTGGCCTCAAACACCATGGCCGTCATCCCGCACCCTCCTTATTCGCCGTGTGACTTCTTCCTCTTCCCAAAGATGAAAATTCAGCTAAAGGGAAGGAGATTTGAGACGATAGAAGAGATTCAGGCAGAATCGCAGATGGTGCTTGACAGGCTGACAAAGAAAGATTTCCAGGGATGCTTCCAGGCTTGGCAGCGGCGCTGGGATCGTTGTGTTCACTCCCAGGGGAACTACTTCGAGGGTGATGGATGAATTTAATACCTGAGATAAGTGTACGGGTTTTTATAGGCACAGTCTTGAAACTTTCCGATCGCACCTCGTAGTTGTGATCTGCCAGTACAATTAGTAATGTTTTTATGAATCGCATTCCCTTTAAGGTTTAAATACTTCATTCTGCAACGGCAAATCCCATAGTGCTAACTGTAGATTTAAGGGTCAAATGTGCACAAAATCAAAACTAAGAACTGTTGAGCATCAAGCTGAATAATATGACCTTTTGCTACGACACTTAAATCCATACTTTATGGTGAAGTAGACAATTTATATTCATTCGAATGTTTATTGTTGTACCATTTATCGCAATAAAAAATATATAAATTTACTATATACCACTGTGTTTAAAGCTGCAAAGGATTACATACAACCTGAATAAAAGGCTTTCATTTTATTATATTTTTAAAGGTGTCAGAAAACCTGAAAATTGTGTGATCATCACATTCTGTTCAGATGGTAAGAAGGACTCGTTTGACGAATCAAAGAACAGGAACACTCACCCAAGTGAATGTACCGCTCAGGTTCTTGCTGTTTCATCATGATCATGGGGTCAGTCTGTCGCAGTAGTGAGCGTGCTGCACCAAGCTCACGCAGCTCAATGAGCTCCAACACAACCTGCAACATTACAGAACAATAACATGAGTTTTGCAGCAGCACGACCAATTATGAATGGCTTTTCTTGAATTAGGTTGTGACATTTCCGCACAAGTGATGACATCAGCTAGGCAACCAATTTGGGGGGGGGGGTTTACAAATGCAACAACAGTGTCCAAGACAACAACGGTATACAATGTTATTGTTGTGTTGTGATCTGAGGTTTTTTTTTTTATTTGTAGTGTTCTGTCTGACGACAGGTCCATATATTATGAACAGGATCCTTCCAACCTCTTCAGGTTTTCATACATATATACATTCTTGGCAGAGATGATCAGAAGTGGTTTGCCATTGCCTTCTTCTGTGTGTGAATGGAGTAATTGTTGGGATGCCACGGAGAAACTGGGGAAGCCCCCGGAGGAAAACTCCGTGATGCCTACACCACGGCCTTACCCAACACAAGTTATAAATTTGAGCACCACCGGGAATTGAACCCGGGACCCCAAGCTTACAAGGCTAGTGTTCTGACCACTAGACCACCGTGGCGGTGATCTGAGGTAATTGTTCCAAATGTGTGCTCCAACAAAGACCTCAGTTCACAGTGTTGCAACAAAGATGGTGAAAGCACAGGGGTGTCCAGTCCCAGTCAGAAAGGCACAAGAGAAGAGGCCCAAGGTGACAAAGGCTCTGGAGTAGCAAGCAAACGGGGCATTATGGAGGGAAGTTTCTGGGGTTTTCCACAGGGGCTGCAGATCTCAGACATATCCTAGCCCAGTGAGTTTCTTTTTCTTCTTGTGGCTCTAAAACCCAGTGTGGGTCTTGGCCACTTCTTGTGGAGGTCCTCTTACATGCCACAAATCTACGAAATGGGACCGCCGGTTTTACTTCTCTTCCGAAGGAAGTCTTGCTACGGCTTTTTATCATCCTTAAAAATAAGCAAACCTTGGGTCCAGTAGCAAGCATGCTACCACTAGACCACCGAGGATGACCCTAGCCCAGTGACTGGCCAGGCCAAATGGTGGGTAGTCCTACTGATGGATTCACCCATCAGTACAGATCCCTGTGGTCTGAATAAGCAGAAATTAGTTCTATGAAATACTGATTGTACCAATTGTGAGTCCTACAAGTTGGAGATTTTAGGATGGATGTGTAAAAAGTAAAGGTGGAATTGAAGACAGCCTCTTAGAAATAACACGTGGCAATGCTGCATTAAGTCACTGGAGGAGCTGGTGAAATTGAACACCAACAAGTGAAGGGGCTGTTTTGATTAATTCATTCTTGTTTAAAGGAACGAGATAAAATGCTAAGCCATGTGAGGGGCGATGGAATTGTGTTTTCAACTTTACAGCATAACCAAAGATGAGAAGATTCCTCTGCAGGGTAAGAGGAGGCTCTTCAGATTCCACATAAACATCAGGATGACTGTCACAGAAGAAACTAGCGGTAAGACAAACTCCAGTATTGTAAAATGGCTATATTGTAGGCCATTCTGACTTCATTGTCTGTCTCAGACCTTACAGATAAAACTTTTAAAACATTCAATGACCATTTGCGTGAAGCCATCTAACGTGAGGTACACATAAGAAACTGCTGTCATGACGAGACTTGACAGATGAAACAAGGAGAGATGGTGGACTAGGAAAGACTAGAGACAAATACATCCCAGGACTTTGCACTTTGCTTCACAAACAAGGCACTGAATCTTAGTATGGAGGAATTAAAAAAAATATTTTCTTGCATGCTTTTTGATGCTTCTAATGAGAAGCATCAAAAAGCTAATTTCCAAGCATGGGTGTCACCACAGTCATCCATCCACCAATAGAGTGGCTCACAGCAAAGACTCATGGATAACCTGAGAGATACGAGAGAACACGACTCAAAATAAGAGACTCACGCTTGTGACAGAAGACAATTTGTGTTCCTTTAGAATCACTAAGATAACTGAAGATAGATCACTAAGCACAGACCAAGTTCATAATTGTAAAATCATGTACTGTGTTATGGCTAAATATACTTCCCTGCATAATGAAGTCAAAACAACAGATAGTAGTAGATGTTAAAACTGTCCAATACAGATGAAGATTCAAAGAGCCTGACACATTTCTGTAAAACTATCCAATACCAAATTTCATCAAAATCAATTTATTTCAAAGCATGTGGGCAGACAGACAGAGAGATGAAGTGATTTTAATACAAACTTCACAAAGTTTTGTGTGCCTTATAAGGTAATTTATTTGCTTCATTAGTGGCAAATTAAATAATTTTTTGTTAGTCATTTAAATATAAAACTCTACAGGTAAGAACTTGTTTGGGTTGGCTTCTAGTTCAAAGAAAAATGCATCATGCCCTGATATAACACACATAAAATGTATGGCAAATGTAAAATGGATTATCTATCTCTCTCTCGTACCTGTTCATAAAGATCAATCAGCTTCTTGTCCGGAAGTTTAAGTGACTGTATGGCTTTCAGGACTGTATCCCAGTGTCCATTGTTAATATCCGACACAAAGCCTTCCACACTGTCGACAGTGTTCAGGGAGACTCCAGTCTCTTCCTAAGATATAAAAACATTTATTAATAAATAAAGGCAGATAATTATGCAAAATTAAATGGATTTATGTAGGATCAGAACTTCTCATCATGGCAAGCATGAAAATGGCTGTCTTCTGAGCTGTAGCACTACATAATCTGGTAATTTACCAACATTTCAGAGCTACTTGCTGCCTCCATTATCAGTGCCCATCATTATCACACTGATGAAGTAGGCAGCAAATACCTCTAAAACAATGGTAAACTCCTACCATACTACACTGTGCTACAACCCAGAAGACAGCCAACCTAAACTAGACACAGAGTTAATCAGACTGACTACAGGATGTAGAATAAGTCATAAAGCACAAATATACAGAACAGTACAATTTAAAATATAAATGAAGTTTCACAAATGAAAAATATTCAGAATGAACATGTTAAATATTTTTTTATGGTTTATTTAAAGATTCATTTCTAGTGGCTGAGACTATATAGTGTCAAATGAGAGGATGATAGTGAATGAATTGAAAGGCATTTGGAAGGAGGTGGTCGAGGCCTAATTTAAGGTACTATCCCGACATTTGCCTGGAGGGACTTAGAAAAACTACAGAAAACACCAGTCAGGATAGCTGGTCTCTGGGATGAGACTTGAAACTGGGGCATCCTGTGTTAACATGTTGCATTAAAGCCACTCTTCTATACAACAGACTTATGTAAGTAGAGTAACTCCTAAAAGGGTTATTAATCTTCTTCAAAATTCAAACATTCAGCAACAGAATAAAAAGTGTGTGAATTTAGGTATCTTTTTAATGCTAACTGCAATTCTAATTATAGTATGTCATTAAAGTATGGTGACCTGTTCCATTACATAACCTAGAAATGCATACTAAATATAGACAAAAGTTTAATTGAGAAAGAAGAAAAGCAACTTAACGACAGTTAACAACATAGTTCAAACCTGTAATTCCGTAAATACACTAATGTGAAATCCAATAAATTTTTTAATGTACTTCATTTAATAACGTCGTACTGAGCAACAAATCTTTCCGTCGAAATTCACAAAACATTAAAGTGTTCGGAGGCAATGCTATTATTTACCTGAAGCGTCTGTAATGTGCGAATTAAATTCGACTCCTTCAAGTATTGCTGAATTAAACGTATAACACTGAAATAAAACAAAAAGATTAAAATATATCGGACTACATCAATATAACATAACGAAATCTACAATCCAAGTTGCAAATCAAAAACTCTTGCTTACTCTGCAGATTCTATTTCGATAGACATGTCTAATCACGTCGCCGGATATATTTATTTACCAGGCACTATTTATCAATATCATTCGTAATATTTCCCGTGGAATAAATCAATAAATGTTAATGTTTGAGGTTCAAAAACCACTCTCACACAACATCAAACACTATGTTAATGTTGGTATTAATACATTAATACCAACTTGGTATTAATACATTAATACCAACATAAATTCATATATTCACAGATTATAGGTATATTGTATGCTGGCTGATTCTTAGAACGAAAGAAAGACATACAAGGAATAAGAGAATAACACAAACTTGTCAGCACCAAATGGGAACATATTAACTTATCATTAAGAATGGAAACACTAATTTTAACCTTCTGAATTCGGAACGGGACTGATCGTACCCAGTCCATGTCAAATAATAATAATAATACAATAAAATTTATATTCCATACATTATTTGCAATCTGAAGCCAAGGATGTAAAATGTAAAACATGTCATAGCATAAGTACAACACTTATTTACAATAAGAAGCTGCCCCACTAAGTGCCATCCTGGCACTTGGGGGGGGAAAGCCGTACACCTCCTACTCATTCATAACCTGGGCGCTAGATAGGGGTGAGTGGTCAGCATCATGACCCGGCCGCACCCAACACCCAAGAAAGGACCTGGGTACCCATCGGGTGGGATCCAGAGCCGGTCTGGATGCAGAGGCTAGAGGAAAAAGTGCCCCCGTCGGGGATCGAACCTCGGTCATCCAATCCTTAGTGAGTCACTAAACCTAGAAATATAAACTACACAGTTGTGACATCAACTTACAATAAAGGACAGCATTCTACTTTCGTCATCTAACTCAGAAATTGGCAAACCACGGTCTGAAGACCGACCTACAAGGCTTCTTTTTGGCAACTGAAATATAAAAATGTTACCATAATATGATTCCTACATTTGTGGCACTATTTTAGAATTTCTCAGAGACCCAAAGTCTTCCTACAAAGATGTATGAATCTGGGAGTTTTATTGCAACTAATTTTTGCCAATGTAAACATTTTCTGTTAATTCACATATATTTTATTTTATTTTTTTCCTCAAAATCAAAATCTAGATCTGATATGGCATTTTGAGATGACATCACAGGACTCTTTCTTATGTGAATGCAATTCTTGAGGGGAATGACAGTGTATTGCACAACTCATAAACAGCAGTAAATGCTTTTGAAGCAAAACTCCTCTTATTTTAAAAAAAGTTGCACATTTTTGTATCATACAAAGCAGGCACATAAACTATGGTGCAGCTGAAAAGAATGTGATTATTATTTGTAAAATACATAGGGAATTTTGTCATTGATTGTAAGATTGCAGGAAAGTAGATTATGAAACTATTTACTTCTTCCCACTTCTTTGACGTGAAAAACAATCCAGAAAATCTTCAGCAGGCGTACAGTGGCCTGCAAAGTGACACAGAAACTGAATGTTCACTTTGTTGAATGTTTCTGAACTAGTGTTTCAGCCCTTAAGTGAGTCAAACTGACCTCTCTGATGAAGACAGGCATTTCTGTGTAGTCATGGGCATTGCAAGGTCCACATTTACTCACATTATAATTATTGAAAAGGTTATCTGTAGCTGCAGCTAGCACCATCTGTCACACTAACATGGAATGTATTAACATTTAAGTAGGTAGCTGGTATACATTTCATGCTTCTGAAAAGAAGGAAAATATGTTCTCTCCAGCCCAATCAAACACTGTAACCTCTAATCTGGTCAAGAACTTATGAAATATGCCCTTTGAATTCTGAAAAGATCCATGCTTACCTCTCAAGTTTCCAAATAATTTTTTCAAAAGTTCAGACTTGCCTTGATCAAGGACCTGAGAGGTCAAGGGAAGGGTGACTCAACCTCAGACTACACCACAGGGAAATTTGTATCTTATATGCGTCATGTTTGTGTTTGATTAAATATATTTATTTTGTACAGTCTATACACAAACGTTTGAAGTTTATACGATTATTTATTTATTTCCTATGTCAATTTATACTCATTCCAAGAAAATAATTAAATATTAATTCCACAGATAAATATAACGTCTGACTAACCATGAAAATGGAAAGCTACAAACAGAACTACGGATCATTATAATATATTGCATCAAATATCTAATAGTTTTTAAAATATTTTAAATTGATAAAAACCTGAAGACGACGGTATTACCCGTCGAAACATGTCGTTTTAATAAAAGCGCTAAAAATATAATGTAAAATCGTATTTACGATTAAGAGCGCTAATATAATATTTTACACAATAAAATGTTTTAATATTATATAATTTTTACAACACCAATAAACTTCAAACGTTGTGTATAGACTGTACAAAATAAATATACCACAGGGAAAATCAACCACTTCTACCAGCCAACTGATCAAACTTAACATACAACACAGTGAAGGAAAATTAGTGCAATGTTGCATGTATAATTGAGAAAGAGAGAAACAAATCAAAGAAATTAGGACAATATTAGGTTATCTGAAATGCAATGTGGATTTGTGTGTTAATCCGTGCTAAAGGCTGTGTAATACCAAACTGCGTTTGTGAACACATTCCAGCAATATGCTGGATAAGATCATCAAAAATAAGTATTATAATAAGTACTATTATTTTACTGATATATTTTTGAATAACAATATCTTTATGTAATAAGCTGGCTATGGGAGTGATTTTCTGATAGGGAGGGGGTGATGAGATAAGGAATACAATTTTAGATTTGTCTTCAGATATTTCTGCCAATCTTCACATTTTGAGGTAGTTATAAAAGGAATAATTGCTTCCAGGTAACTTTGGTAAGTAAACCCATCCTTTACAAACTATACAACCTTATTACACAAGTGTCTCAAACAATGTAAAAAATCTATAGAAGCATTTTGGAAACACAGAGTTCTGTTCTTGCAAATTAATATTTTTAATATGTCTTGACTTACACTATATAGTTTAATTCAATCAACTATGAGCACATGGATTTTCCTTTCAACCGATAAAGGTTAAGAACCATTTTAATACTTGCCTTCAATTTATGTTGTGGTCTTCCAAGTTGCCAGTTCCCTTCAAGTTTTCCACCTGAAATTTCTTATGCATTTCTCATCTCTCCCATACACGCTACATATCCCATTCATTCTCCCTAAATTACTAACATGTAATTAAATTTGATACTACACAAATTATAAAGCTCTTCATTACGCAACTTTCTACAACCTCCCATTACTTCGTCCCCCTTATGCTCAAGTATTCTGCTTAGCATCCTATTATCAAACATCTTCAATCTATGTTTGCCCCTTTATGTAAGAGAAAAAGTTTCAAACCCATACAAAAAGCAGGTAAAACTATAGTTCATCAACTACTCCAAGGATTTGGTCTATTGACCCATTCTGGGACAGTTGCTCAAGGCAACTTGTACTTTTTAGTCTTGTAGGGTGCATTTGAGTAGTGAGTAACAAGCCCAATGCCTTTGCACAATTTCTGCTCAATCCTGATTTTGACTGCTAGAGCCATCTAGTAGTGAATCTGGAGAGACTTGGGTGAGAAATTGCCACTTAATTTTGCTTATGAAACATCTCATATTATGCTCATAAAGTTCTTTTACATGCAGTAAATCTATAATATAGGACTGCCAGCTTTACTTCCCCTCCAAAGGAAGTTGTGCTACAGATTTTTATCACCCTTAAAAATCCACCAACCCCGGCTAGGTTTGAACCCACAAACTTAGGGTCCAGTGGCAAGTATGCCAACCACTAGTCCACTGAGTTTTTTTTTTTTGACAGGGTGCAGGATGATCAAAGATTCTGAACTGAATGGTATCAAGCATCTATGGAATATAATCTCCTCTTAATTTTCGGAGGGTAATCTGTTACTGCCAATCTCAGATATTTGGAGCTTTTTTATTTGTAGTGTTCTGTCTGACGACAGGTCCATATGAACAGGATCCTTCCATCCTTTTCTCGGACTGGGACCTGTTCATATACGTTCTTTGCCGATCATCCAGAAGTGGTTTGCCATTGCCTTCTTCTGTGTGTGAATGGAGTAATTGTTGGGATGCCACAGAGGAAAACTCCGTGTTGCCTAGACCACGGCCTTGCCCAACACAAGTTATAAATTCGGGCACCGCCGGGAATCGAACCCGAGACCCCAGGATTACAAGGCCAGCGTTCTAACCGCTAGACCACCGTGTAACCATTTGGAGCTACCACATTTTTAATGAATGTATTACCCAGCTTTATTTTTATAGTGTCTTGCATTCTAGTGATGTGCCTTTAAATGTTTTTAGTTTTCTCTTTGTTTTCCATATAGCACCAAACCAGTGTTTTCTAAACATTTAACAAGCGAAAAATGTATCTTCATTGGTTTGTATGAGTGTAAAACTTAGTGTGCATTCTCTTCCAAACACACATGTATTACACCACCTGTTGTCAACAATCAGCTCACACCTTACTTGCCCCTACTTATCTTGCAATGACTCACTGAACTAACCTGCCATCTGCTGAGAAATCTGAAGAAACATGCAGTAACCTCCCAATTCTTCCAGAATATGTGATACCACTTGCAGAGCAATGAGAAACACTGCATAAAACTGAATGCGGTCAGCCAGGTGCCAGAAAGAAACATTCAGGTTTGCAAGATTATGTTGGAGTCTTTTCACTTTAGCTTTATTTTCTCTCTCTTGTACTCACGTATATTTACAACACTGTTCCTTCCCCTCTTAATCTCTCAAATGCATAGCATGTGGACACATCTTGCACTACTTTAAATGTGGCGAGTATGATGATTGTAGATGTCGAGCCCTATCTTAGGCTTAGCCACAGCAAATGCCATTTTCACTAATCCTTCCTCTTAATTCTATGTACTGTAAAGAGGTATTCTGTTGTCCTGAATTCAAGCCCCTTCTGCCAGGACCTTGTTAAAGACGACGAAGAAATATGCTAGACAATGGAAACAAGATAAATGTAGTGTTAATTCAGAGAGTGAATGTAATGAAGTCAGGAAAGATCCATAATATATCAG